TCTCTAGTACCTGTCCTGTTGCATCCATTTTTTTCTCAGCAGTTTAAATTGACCTTGTTTTACTCAACATAGAGAGCCAAATGAGAAGGAAACTGGAAACATGAAGGGGATACTGAAAATAGGAGCAGCCCTGAGAAAGGAAAACCTTGGTTTGGAATTGGGCAAATGAATTAAGTCCAGGGAGACCAAAAGGGCAACTGGGACTGGAAGCACAGACTTAGCGAGGTGAAACAAATACTCAGGAATCAGTGACCTCTACTGACACTTTGTACAATGTCCACATCATTCAATATCACATGTTGTCGAGTGTCAAAATGTGTTTCTTTCAGTTCACATGTACTTTTAAGAGGAAAAAAAACACTTAACAGCATTATAAAAGAAATTACTCTGCTGCATCAGCGACCTTGACTGTGATAAACCTGTTTGGAGGCAAGTAGACTCACATGGCTTCTGACTCTTGTGTATATACATAAATCTGACCCAGAGCAGTTACTATAGACTCTGTAGAGTACCAAAGTGAATGCGTCACATGTACAGTAACGTGTAAAAGCATAAGCGCAAGAACAAGTGCGCGAATCAAGGTGCGCGCATGCTCCATTCGTTTGTATAGCATTTACTGGTTATAAATGACGTTACACTTCAGTACTCTATAACTCAACATGGCTGTCTACTGGACTTGACATTGAATGAAAGGACGAACACAACTTCGACTCCACAGCCAGCGTGTACGTTCCTTCACTCGCCTCTGGTCGTGAAGAATATGAAAATCATGCTGACTGGCTATTCAGGATGAATATATATAAACTTAATGTGAATTGCAAGCGTATTTCAAAAGCTACTTGCTCATGCCCACATATTCGTCTTCACATTACCCACGCTTAAACCTCCATCATGCGCAAACACATTGACTACAGTGTTAATTTATAATCTCCCAAACAGTTGGATATTTAGATTATGGTTGAGATCACACAAGGCATGGTGGGAACCAACATGGCGCAGCAAGATCGTACCCGTGGGAACGAGGTTGGGACAAATACAATACAACACACTTAATCTGTCTAATGGTCAATATATCATTTGCACGCACCCCACCACAGTTTAAAATGGAAGTGTAGGCTTTTCTGTTTCCTTTAAACTGATTCATTACATTTTTTCCCAAACATAATTTTTGATATTTTGGACAATATCACAACTCGACATGATTCCAGTGGAATATCAGAGTATTTAATGATGATATTGATGCTTTTCAGCAATTTCATTTGGAACCCAATAAAATTCTTAATCAAGCGCAACGTCAATGACTGAAGATGAGGACTCATAAATGCTAGACACTGCTATCTAATTTAGAACCGGTTTGGATTTATAAAGGGAAACAACGGTACGCTTGTATCTGCACCAGAACTGTAATTGAGTTCTCTTCCAGAGCCATCATATACCTTGAGGTAAATTTTGTAACAGGTCAAGACAGATTTAAAGCAAGAAGGAAGACAAGCTAGTATATTCCAGTATTCAGGGCAGGAACATTCATAACAGGAGCTCAAGTTTTTCTGCAAATGTTTGTGTATTTCCTTCGTGACTGTGTGACACTCATGTTGGTACCCATTCAAAATAATCAATGTAGCCATTTCACTGAGACTTAAATTCTTACTGAAGCCTCTCATAGTTTCCCTAACAAGTTCTTGGCAGCATTCCAAATGTGTGCCCCACCTTGAGGTTTCCAATACAAATATGACTCATTTTTTGTGTTGTACAAGCAATCTTCTAGAGCAGCAAGATTAAAATGTGCAGGAAGTCTTCTTTTTTCTCATTTGTGAAGGATAATTTGATGGAAGATTTAATAACAACCTGGAAACTGGCAGATGGACGGATCAATCAGGGAAGAATTGGGAGATGGACGTCAAACATGCAGGTTTGTTACACAATGCAATTTTATCCAAAGTATATTCCTCCAGTTCTAAGCCAGGGAAAGCTAGTTTAAAGAGGGACTCTAACGAGGCAGTAGTTTTCCATTTTTTAAGTTTTTCTGCTGGACTTTGTAGGCTTTTAACCAAATACAAGACAATAAATTACGATTGCAGTTTTTAATGTCAAAAAAAATATCTACCAAAAACGCTGTATCCGGTGAGCATTTTGCCACACTTCTCAAAAATGTATTAGGTATGCAAATGTATCCATATGACCCCATGACACAAGTGCGTGGACTACGCCCGGCCGGAGTGCTGAGCTCTGCTAAGTTTTCTCGTGAGTGTACGCATGTGATTTAGTAGTAGTTTCCTAATACTTTTTATTTTGCCCATTTTGATCATTCATAGCCACAATCATTCATTGTCGTTGGCATTTGGATCTTGATATTATGCCACAAACTTGTGTTGTCGGTGGCTGCCTCTGTTTCTTCATGACTCCTAACACATATATTCAGTACACACATTCACTATGAACAGCTGCGATTAACGAAATATTTTTTAAGAAATCAAACCAACCAACCTATGGAATGTTTCGTGTGAAAGACAGCTGCCAAGTCACTGGATTAATGCCAGAATATCAAATGCAAAAAAACACTCTTTGTTTTGGTTTATTTTGATGTGTCCAGTGTTGAAGCTGTGGGTAATTTTTTCGTGAATGGAAAATAAGCCAATGAGGAAAGAAAGTAATACAAAAATGTAATGTCAGTTCTTGGTTAAGATATTAGGACTAACTGGAAAAGGGAAATCATGAAACTTATCATTTACTTCCAACTGCATTTCCAGGTTTTGTGTCCAGAAGATTGGGGGGGGGGAAGTTGTCCCACCCCCCACCAAATTTGTCGATTTTTTCCTACGCCCCCCAAATATCCTCAACCAAAAGGAAAGGTGGTAGAGTGCGAGCTCTTTCAATTCCTCAAAAAATTAAATAGAATAACATTTCGAAAATTGCATCACGTCCCCCCTTGTTGAGTGTGCCACAATTCATTTCAATGAGTGCAGCCATTACTGTACTTGTACCTGTAGGCTCACAGCACAGGCTAACTGTCAAGATTGTTTGATCAAAACTAGAAGTAAAAATCCCATGAATACAATCCTGGGTTCCTGCATCTAAAGAACAATTAAATTCCATGCCTTTTCCATGACCAAATTATGAAAATCCACGACCCAATATTGGCCGATAACATAATTTCTTGGATTATTCGGATTTTTGAAGTTGCAAATAAAATCAATTTATGCACTTATTAAAAAATCACACGCAGTGTTCTATGACAATTCCATGACTTACATGTACCGGTAAGTCATTTGACAAATTCCATGACTGTTCCAGGCCTAGAAAATGAAAACAAATTTCCATGATTTTTTCATGACTTTTCCAGGCTTCGGAGACCCTGCTATCTTCAATGTTGGATGCATTTCCTAACTACAATGGATATGAAAATGAACCAGTGACCAGTATTTGATAAATTCCATAGGTTCAATACAGAGAGAAAATAGTTGAGGTATTCACAAAAATGAGTCCAGTCACAGTACAAAAATCTGAACATGAATGTGGATAACTCCCCAACCCAAAACAGCAGCACCAGCGATTTGTTACAACGGCTACGTACAAGGTTCTTCAATCTACGTACATGTATGAAAGTGGTTCTGAAAATTCTTAGAAATGTCATACAATGGAAGACAAACCACAGCCTTCTGCAATAACATGAATTTGGTTAAGCACAGTGCCTTAGCAACAGCTTTTCTGAAGCCAGTTGCTATGACAACATAAGAGATATTTGGGCTCCAAGGCAACCACCAGCTAAGCATAGCCACTTAATTACTTTCACAACTAGCAGTCGATTAACGGAAAGGTT